AAATAACTCAGGGGACCCTCCTGCTTGCAGGGGAATGTATCAGGGGTGAAGTGAGTATGGCTTTGGCCTCAGGCAGGCTCCAGGAGGTTGCAGTGGGATGTAAGGAGCGTAGGGGCAGGAGTGGTAGAGAACAGACAATGCTTTTTTTCTGTAACTGGCATTAGGACTCCAAGTGTAGAACCTGCCTCCATCCTGCCCTCCCTTTCCTGGGGTGCCCGGGCTTAGGGCACCACCAACAGGGTCTGAAGTGAGGAATGGTAGTAGAGAGGCCAGAGAACGGGCATATTCACATCCTTTTCTGTCACGGTTTTCAGATCCCGCATTAGGCCCCTTTTCCATTCCTGCCTCCATCCTGCCTCCCATCCTGGGATGGACTTGCAAAGGTCTGAAAGAACCTGCACCAAGTTCCCTCCCTCAAAAATCTGGAAAGAGGAGGATGCAAGACTTTCCCTTTCCCCCTTGCCCTGGAAGTTTAACTCTTCCTCGCCTTTGAAGAGCAGGCAGCTGGAAAAACAAGTTGTGCCTGTTTCATCCAGGAATGCGGGGCCCATCTGTCGGCAGCCACAGCGGCAGCCACAGCGCTCAGCTCCCATGAGCGGCAGGCACCAGCTTCTAGGAGGCCCCGTTTGGCAACCAACTCTGCCCTCCTCCCTGCCCTGTCCTGTCCTTCACCCATGAGCCTCACATCCTGACCCAGGCTTGAGTTCAGGGACAAGCCCTGTGGGGAATGCAAGGGAGAGAATAGGGACAGCAGCAAGTGTTTGAGGGGCGGAGCATTAGGTCAGTTCCATCTCACCTGGCCACCTGCCATATGACACGGGGCAAGACCTTACCCTGTCCAGGACTCTATTTCCCCAGCCGTGCATGAGGAGCAGGGTCAGAACTCCATCATCCCTAGGGTCCATGTCAGCTCTGACATCCCGGGCATTGAGGAGTTTTCTATGTTCAAGGTTACAAGGTGTGTCAGAGTCAGGTCCTCCTGTCCAGAGGGACCCGTGCTGGGACAGGGACAGGTGAGCTTGGGATAGGGCAAGCAGCCCTGGCCTGTGCTGCAAGGAGTTCCAGATCTGACTCTTGCTTTGCTTCTACCTTGCTGCGAGGCTCTGAGCAGTTCCTCTCCCTGGGAAACTTAGTTTCCTGTTACTAATCACAGCTAGTAAGTGAAAACCTACTATGTGTCAGGCACCCAATGAGGTAGATAATAATCTTATGCCCATTCTACAGAAGAGGAGATGGAGGCTCACAGAGATTAAGCAACCCGCCCAGGAAGGCTCCCAGCTAGTAAGCAGCGGAGCCAGGGCTGGTGGCCAGGCAGCCTGATGCCAGGCCCGTGACCCTGGCCGCTTGGCTTTCCTGCAGCCCTACACATGCTGACGGAGTTCCGTTTGACTGGAGGTTAGCCTCTGGAAGAGACAGATTGCTGAGCTGGTTGGAACTATTTTACCATCACTGGGGAGCCACTGAAGGTTTTGGGGAAAAGCAGAGAAGGGGTCAGGACTGTGTTGTATCGAGGTGCCCTCGAGATTTAAACTAGTCCGTTATTGTTATTTCTCAAATACAGGGTTTCTCTACCTTAGCACTATTGACATTTGGGGCCGGATCATTCCTTGTTGTGGGGAGCGGTGGGGGGGGGGGGGGTGTCTGTGCACTGTAGGATGTTGAGCAGCATCCCCAGCCTCTACCCACTGAATGCCATCAGCACCCCCAACTCCAAGCTGGGATAACTGAGAATATCTTCAGACAATATCCCCTGAGGGCCAAAATCACCCCCAGTTAGGAACTACAGCAGTGGAAACCATTTTCTTCCTAATGTGCACTTTTTTTTTTTTTGCTTAGGGCTTTGGGAGTTTCCACCATGATTATTGCCTCGCTGGGTTTTGTCGTTTTCTTGCTCCACTGCACAGCCTGTGACAAGCCCCTGGAAGGGATCATTTCCTCCTCCTCCTTGCGCTTCACACACACCCTTTATAATGCGACCATCTATGAGAACTCTGCTCCTAAGACCTACGTGGAGAGCTCCGTGAAAATGGGCATTTACATCGCTGACCCCCAGTGGGCAGTGAGGTACCGGATCATCTCCGGGGACGTGGCCAGTGTGTTTAAAACAGAAGAGTATGTGGTGGGCAACTTCTGCTTTCTGAGGATCAGGACGAAGAGCAGCAACACCGCCCTTCTGAACAGGGAGGTGCGAGACAGCTACACCCTCATCGTCCAAGCCACGGAGAAGACCTTGGAGTTCGAAGCTTTGACCCGTGTGGTGGTCCACATCCTGGACCAGAATGACCTGAAGCCCCTCTTCTCCCCACCTTCATACCGAGTCACCATCTCCGAGGATATGGCCCTCAAGAGCCCCATCTGCAAGGTGACCGCCACGGATGCTGATCTGGGCCAGAACGCCGAGTTCTATTATGCCTTTAACACAAGGTCGGAGATATTTGCCATCCATCCCACCAGCGGCGTGGTCACGTTGGCTGGGAAGCTCAACGTCACCTGGCGAGGGAAGTATGACCTCCAGGTGCTGGCCGTGGACCGCATGCGGAAAATCTCAGAGGGCAATGGGTTTGGCAATTTGGCTGCACTCGTCATCCATGTAGAACCTGCCCTCAGGAAGCCCCCGGCCATCACCTCTGTGGTGGTGGCCCCACCAGACAGCAGTGAGGGTGCCACCTATGCCACTGTAGCAGTAGATGCGAACAGCTCAGGGGAAGTGGACTCACTGGAAATTGTTGATGGTGACCCCGGGAAGTACTTCAAAGCCATCAAGTCTTACGCCCGGAGCAGTGAGTTCAGTCTGGTGTCCGTCAGAGACATCGACTGGTTGGAGCACCTCCATGGCTTCAACCTCAGCCTGCGGGCCAGGAGTGGGGGCAGTCCTTCTTTCTATTCCCAGATCAGGGGCTTTCACCTACCCCCTTCCAAACTGGCTTCCCTCAAATTTGAGAAGCCCATTTATAGAGTACAGCTTAGTGAGTTCTCCCCTCCTGGCAGCCGCGTAGTGATGGTGAAAGTAACCAGGGCCTTCCCCAACCTGCAGTATGTTCTAAAGCCATCCTCAGAGGGCACAGGGTTTAAACTCAATGCTCGCACCGGGCTCATCACCACCACAAAGCTCATGGACTTCCATGACCAAGCCCACTACCAGCTACACATCAAAACCTCCCCGGGTCTGGCCTCCACCACTGTGGTCATCGACATTGTGGACTGTAACAACCATGCCCCCGTCTTCCACAGGTTGTCTTATGCTGGCACCTTTGATGAGAACATCCCTCCGGGCACCAGTGTTTTGACTGTGACTGCCACCGACCGGGATCATGGAGAGAATGGCTATGTCACCTATTCCATTGCTCGTCCAAAAGATGTGCCCTTTTCTATTGACCCTTATCTGGGGATCATCTCCACTACCAAACCCATGGACTATGAGCTCATGAAAAGAATTTATACCTTCCAGATACGGGCATCAGATTGGGGGTCCCCATTTCGCCAAGAAAAGGAAGTATCTGTTTCTTTTATGCTCAATAACTTGAATGACAACAAACCTATGTTTGAGGAAGTCAACTGCACTGGGTCTCTCCGGGAAGACTGGCCAGTAGGGAGACCAGTGACGGCTGTGTCAGCTATCGATGTGGATGAGCTTCAGAACCTCAAATATGAGTTTGTGTCAGGCAACGAGCTAGAGTATTTTTATCTAAATCATTCTTCTGGAGTGATATCCCTCAAACGCTCTTTTATGTATCATACTTCTAGTCAACCCATCAGTTATTCCCTGAAAATTACAGCCTCAGATGGGAAATACTATGCCTCGCCCACAACTTTGAATCTTACTATAGTGAGGGACCCCCGTCTCGAGGTTCCTATAACATGTGAGAAAACAGGGGTACTGACACGATTCACAAAGACCATCCTCCACTCTGTTGGGCTCCCGAACCAGGATTCCGATGATGAGGACTTTACTTCCTTAAGTGCATATCAGATCAATCATCATGCCCCACAGTTTGAGGACCACTTCCCGCAGTCCATTGACATCCTTGAGCGTGTTCCTCTCAACACCACCCTGGCCCGCCTGGCAGCCACTGACCCTGATACTGGTTTTAACGGCAAACTGGTCTATGTGATTGCAGATGGCAATGAAGAGGGCTGCTTTGACATTGAGCTAGAGACAGGGCTGCTTACTGTAGCTGCCCCCTTGGACTATGAAGCCACCAGTTTCTACATTCTCAATGTCACCGTGTATGACCTGGGCATGCCCCGGAAGTCCTCCTGGAAGCTGCTGACAGTGCATGTGAAAGACTGCAATGACAATGCACCCCGATTTCCTCCTGGTGGATACCAGATAACCATCTCAGAGGACACAGGAGTTGGAACCACAATTGCAGAGCTGAAAGCAAAAGACGCTGACTCGGATGACAATGGGAGGGTTCGCTACACCCTGCTAAGCCCCACAGAGAAGTTCTCCCTCCATCCCCTCACTGGGGAACTGGTTGTCACAGGGCACCTGGACAGGGAATCAGAACCTCAGTATATACTCAAGGTGGAGGCCAGGGATCAGCCCAGGAAGGGCCACCAGCTCTTCTCTGTCACTGACCTTACCATCACATTGGAAGATGTCAATGACAACTCCCCCCAGTGCGTCACAGAACTCAGCAGCCTGAAGGTCCCGGAGGACCTGCCCCCAGGAACTATCCTAACATTTCTGGATGCCTTTGACCCTGACCTGGGCCCAGCGGGAGAAGTGCAACATGTCCTGTTAAATGATGCCCATGGGACCTTCCACGTGGACGTGATGACAGGTGCCCTCACTCTGGAGAAAGAGCTGGACTTTGAGAGGAGGGCTGGGTATAACCTGAGCCTGTGGGCCAGTGACAACGGGAAGCCCCTGGCTCGCAGGACCCTCTGCCACGTGGAGGTGATAGTCCTGGATGTAAATGAGAATCTCCACCCTCCCCGCTTTGACTCCTTTGTGCACGAGGGCCAGGTACAGGAGAACAGCCCCCCGGGAACCCAGGTGATCGTGGTGACTGCCCACGATGATGACAGTGGCTTGGATGGGGAGCTCCAGTACTTCCTGCGGGACGGCACCAGTCTTACAGCCTTTAGCATCAACCAAGACACAGGTACCGGGCGTAGGGCAGGATGGGAGTGCCAGGTGCTGGGAGAGGATGGGGCTAAGGTAAACCAGGATCTGTCCTGAGCCATCCGGTCAGACTGCAGGCGAAAAGGAAAAGCTATAAATAGGAACTCTCCTTCCTGTCCCTTTCATTTGATGTTTAATCTATTTTTATCATACTGGGGCTACATATATATATATACATGCATATGTGTGTGCATCCATTTAAGTCGAATTAACCATATCACTAGCATCTGTATATGTATGTATATATATACTCACACATACACACATACAAACATACATTACATATATTTGCTTATAAAAGGAATACATCATGATTATCCATCTTATATATAATTTAAAAATGAATGTTTCTCTGTGACCCATCTCCCCAGATACAATGTTTATTAACAATTTGGTCTATAATCTTCTAAAGTTTTCTTCTTTGTATCTGGGATATTATCACCGTTCATGTCATTATTATGAAAACATAATAGACACTAATTCTGGAACTTATTTTTTTTCATGTAACATAACTCCAGGATATCTTATATGTTAGTACATATAAATCTTGTCATTCCTTCTGAATGACTGCATTTTATCCTATCGTATAGGTGTAACATCCTTGTTCATATACTTTTACTCATATGCATTAGTGTCTATAGGAAAATCCATTAAAAATGCAGTTGTTGGGGCAAAAGATAATGCATATTTTCAATGTGAATAGATATTTCCAAATTGCCCTCCACAAAATGTGGAACCAACTTATTTATCCCTTTCAAGCTTCATAGAAAATAAGTGCTATTCAGCAAACATTTACTGAGCACCCTCTACTTGTGAGGCCCCGCATAGACTCCTTGGGGGAGATCCCTGGTAATTAAAGGTAGGTCACTGCCCTCAAGGACTTTACAATCTGATGGGTGATGTATTTCCAGGGTAAAGGGCAGGGTGATGTGGTGGAAAGAGCATTAGACTGAGAGTCAGTTCAAACCCAGCTCTCCCACCTATTGCTACATAATCTTGGTCAAGTCATGCTCCTTCTTTGGGCCTTAGTTTCCCCATCCGTCAAAGGAATAGGTTCCTTCATCTCTGACATGCTATGACTGTGAACAGGGATGGGGAGCTCCCTCCCATTGGCCCTTCCAGCTGAATGTGAGCCATGAGAACTCAGGGTGCAAGCCTCTTTTGCTCACTGGTGGACTCCCAACCTCTAGAACAGTGCAGGCCCAGAGCAAGCAATTTGTGGAGCTACGTCTTTAAAATCATGAAGATACTGCAAAGGGGAACAGCATTTATTTATCAAAGTCCTAACCCTTAAATTGTATCTATAATACTTGAAAATTGAAGGAACCAGTTTGAGGACAACTGTAAGGAAATCCCTTCGAGAATGTGAAATAAAGCAAACAATAGGCCTTGGGTTGAAGTGGCCAGGAGAAAGTAGGTCAACTACCACCGTTTTCTGGAAACCTGCAGATGCCCATGTGCCAGAGTCCTGGGCTATTTTAGCAGAGAAAGGCTCTGAGAGGTTCAACAGTAAGGATATGGATTTCCCCGTGTTTAACTCAGCAGCTCCCACACCATATTGCCAACAGTTTCCTTTTCTCATGGAATATCTATTAGTTTCCTTTCCAGAGAACTGTTTGGGGAGTGTCAGGTAAGATGATTTCTCAAGCTACTTTGAGCTCTAAAATATTTTGGGGTTTGGCAATCGACTGTCCCTAGGAATGATTCAGACCCTGGCAACCCTGGACCGAGAATTCGTGTCCTGCTACTGGCTGACGGTGCTGGCAGTGGATCGGGGTTCCGTACCCCTCTCTGCTGTAACTGAAGTCTACATCGAGGTTACGGATGTCAACGACAACCCGCCCCGGATGTCCAGACCCGTGTTTTACCCCTCCGTCCAGGAGGATGCGCCCTTGCACACTTCTGTGCTTCAGCTGGATGCCTGGGACCCCGACTCCAGCTCCAAAGGGAAGCTGACCTTCAACATCACCAGTGGGAACCACATGGGATTCTTTGCTATTCACCCTCTCACAGGTAAGGACCTCAGAAATCTGGTGAATGGGATTCCTTAACGCAGTGCTTTCGAAAGTGTGGTCCTGGACCAGCATAGTCAGCATCACCTATGAACTTGTTAGAAATTCATATTCTCAGGTCCCATCTTAGACTTACTGAATCAGAACTCAGGGTGGGACCCAGGAATCTGTATTGTAACAAGATATCCAGGGGATTCCGATGGGTGGTAAAATTGAGAACCACTGCTCTACAAAGTCCGTCTCTATGGGAAAATAAGATATGAAAGCTTTCTTTCTTTGGAGCCTAGGGATGTTAGCAGGTTGCCTGGTGACTCCAGAGTCACAAGCCACAGGTTGAATTTCCTAACCCTAGTTCCAAACCGATCTCGAGCCTGCCCACAGAGTGGGGGCAATAGAGACCCACTTTAGCAGAGTCAACCATCTCACAAATACCTATCCCAAGCCCAAGGCCCTCTGGGGCAAGGATGGTGTGAGGTTTAGGGGATGCAGAGGTCACCAGCTGGCAGCAGTGAGCCAGATGGAGCCCACACAGGGGTTTTGTGTGGCTTGCACAAGCTTTAAACAATGAATTTTCAAATTGTTTTGGAAATTGGGAAATTCCACAAAACATTCCAGGTTTCTGGTTGTCACTAAAAGATCTGGTAACACTGTCCCCCCTTGTCCCCCATTGCTCAGGACCACAATTGCCTAGAGGTGACAGTAGCTCCCTAGGTAGAGCAGGTGCATGTCCTCTGGTCCCCACAGTCCCCTCATTCCCCATTGTGTTATTGCCAGCCTGCTTCCCACATTTCTGCTACCTGCCTGGCTCCTGTTGGAATCTGAGAGCCAGTCCCCACTGCAGATACTTCTCCAGGGCCACATCTTCCTCTTAGAGGATGAACAACAACCCGATTGCAGAGAAGGCTGAGATTCTCTCCTCTGAACCTAGGATTCTATTCTCCAGAGCTAACAACTCACCCTGGCGAGACTGGAGGAGGGGGAAAGAGAGAAAGTTAGCAGACAGCCTCCCCATCCTTAAGACACGGAAACCAGGAAAAGCATGAGCCTGGGGGTCCTGGGGCAGACAGCGGGTGGGGGATACACGTGTCTACTTGCACAGTGGCATTTGCTGGAACCTTTCCTGTTAACCTTTGACCTCGGGGAATGGATTCGTCTTCCTAGAAAGATGCTTTCAGCCTAGAAAACAGGCCTAGCTGGCTCTCTACCTGGTTCCACCCTTCCCTCCCTTTTCAGAAGAGGGAAGAGATCTCTCACCTAAGGCATTAGCTTCTCAGTGTCTCCAAATCCCTATTCTGTTTACTGTCAATAGTTCCCTGGCATGGGGTCTGGCAAAATGCCCCCGAGGGCAGAGATGTTCTTAGTCTTCCTGCAGTTGAGGAAGACATTTTTTACCAGAATAAACATCTAAAAATAAAATAATCAGCAATGAGCTTCCAACCCAGCTTTCTTAACACCACCACGCTATTGTTCTGCTTCCCTGCTTGGATCCCATGGATGGTGTCCCTATGCCCTTAAGTTAAAGCCAGATCCTGCCGTGTCCCACAAACTGGTGCCTGACATGGCCCCTGCGCACCTTTCTGGCTCTGTCTGGCCTCTCTCACCCTGCCACTCTCTGAGTCGAGCCACATGGCCAGCTTCAGTCCATACCATTTCCTGGCACCGAGCCTTTGCCCATGCTGTTCCAAGCCACGAGTCTCTTCCTCTCCTTTTTGTTTTGTGTTTTTTTTTAAAATATATTTTTATTGAGTTTATTTATTTTAGAGAGGAAGGGAGAGGGAGAGAGAGATAGAAACATCAATGATGAGAGAGAATCATTGATCAGCTGCCTCCTGCACGCCCCACACTGGGGATCGAGCCTGCAACCCAGGCATGTGCCCTGACCGGGAATTGAACCCGTGACCTCCAGGTTCATAGTTCAATGCTCCACCACTGAGCCACGCTGGCAGGGCTCTTCCTCTCCTTTTGTCTGGCTAACTCCTGCTCTTCTTTCAGGTCCAGCCCAGCTGTGCTTTCCTTAGAGAAGTTTTTCCTGACACTATAATATACCTCTCAGCACCATCTACTTGCCTCCTTTTTAAAAGCATTTATCACATAGAACATTATATTCATTTGTGTGATTATTCCATTAATTTATTCATGTCTTTTACTAGACTTTAAAGGCTTTCTAGAAAAGGACTGTTGATCGTTTTTGCCCACTATACCATCTTCAGTGCCTGGCACACAGTAAAACCTCAATAAATAACTGAGAAGTGAATGAATGAACCTCTGCCAGTATCCACAATCTTTTGTTAAGCCCAAGATTCATTCATTTATTCGGCAAAGGTTAAAGATGTTTGCCCTCACGAGGCATTTAAACCATGTGCTGTGGCGAGATGTGAAGAAAAACACAACACAATTTTAGGCCTTGAGAAATTCAGTCCATCAGAAGTATGAAGATCACATATAAAAAACTATAGAGCCAGTGCAAACGAGCACATGCTAGTGTATGTGTAGGCATGATGCTGTGACTGTTCAGAGGAGAGGAAGCTGTACCAGGGTCATGGGAAGAGCTGAATAATACAATAGGAACAGAGGAGTAAAAAGCTACCACTTTGAATAGCTGGTAAGGGAGGTCTCTTTTAAATCAAAGCAGACCTACTTGTTGGAGTCAGTGGATCAGCCGAAAACATTCAGAGATCCTTGTTGTAACTCCTGACAAGCTGCCTTTTTTACGCAACAAAATATTGTGCACAGCAGCCTCCTCATGGTGAAAGGGGGATGTCGGTGTATTCTCCTGCTTCCTCCCTTGCCCTTCTCTTCCTCTAGAGTTCCATTTCCTCTTAAAGTTCTCGTTCTCCAAATACCAGAATTCTGATCAAGGATTTGAATGTAACCCTCCAACTTACCCCCAGTGAAGTGGCCCTGGGAGCCCTGGGAGCTCAGGTCTCCCTCCTACCATCTCTCCCCCAGGTCTGCTGTCCACGGCCCGGCAGCTGGACCGAGAGACCAAGGATGAACACATCCTGGAGGTGAGTAATGGTGGTGAACCCACTCACTGGATTTGAAACCTCCTGAAGGATGCCAGGCTGGAGCCCAGCCAGGCCTTGGGGCATGTGCAGATCTCCAAGCACTGTGGCTGAGGAGGGTGCTAGGCTCAGGGAGGAGTTGCTTCTTAAGCTGGGTCTTGCTGTGGTTGGTGGTGAAGACTCTGAGAGTCTCTGCTGGCTCGTTAGCACTGTGAAGGGAAAGAACCTGAAACCATGTCCAGGCTGGACAGGAAGCACTGATTGATTAGTAATGCCTGTCGTGAGTGCAGGAAGAGGGAGCAGTTGCACATGTGCTATGCACATTAGTCTGGTTTCCAGCAGATCCCTATGATCCAGAGAGAGGGTCACCCAAGGTTAAACACCAGGTCAGTAACAGGTCCAGGATAAAAACCAGACCTTTCTAAAATCCCATGAGTGTCACTATCTGGTGCCCATTTCAACTAGAGGCGTCGATCTTGACCTAGTCAGAATTCAATCAAAGGACTCCAGCTATGCCCCTCCTGAGCTATCCATACCAATGAATAGGCACCTCTCTGCTAGTCTTAAAGACATCAGTTGTGAGGGACACATACTCCTCAACAAAACCGAAATAAACTTGCCTCTGTGCTCCCAGGCTCTGCACATACCTTTGTAAGAAACAGGTGTTAGCAGCAGCTAACTGGCCTTCTAGAGACTGGAGCACTCTCCAGAGTCCAAGAAAGGCATTTATCTTTAAACAGCAATGTATTTTTAAAAATGGGAACTATTTAGAGTAGAAATGTCCTGTCTCATACCCTCGGGGTCACTGATACATGGGACCATCTGCCCCTTCAAGAAATACTCCCTGGTTCTAAAATTGTCTGTCTTTTCTCTAATTCTGGATTTCATTTCATGCATCGAGCTGCCTGTCTGACTCAAAAGGTACCACCCACTCCTTCATAAACATCTTTTCATTTGTTTCTTCTATCCTCTAGTAGCTTGAAGACACTGGAGAACAAAGCTTATGAGAATTATGAGCAAATAAAAAGTCAGTGGACTCTGAGAAATGGCCCACGGGCCTCCTGAGAAAGGGCACTGTCTATTTTTTTAGAGCCTCTGTGACTTTGTCTTCTTCCAGTTCTTTCTGGTTCTTTCTCTGTTACTGCTGGCTTCCCTGTGGGTGAGGTTGCCAGAGAGCTGGGTTCCAAGTAGGTGAGGTTGGGATAATAAAAGTCACATGCATACTCTGAAGAACAGACTGATGTTTCCAGGCTGTTGAAAGCAGGGGTAGTGGTTGCAGTGGGTGGCAACACATATTTCCTGCTTTGTATTTGGCAACTCATGCTGGATTCTGTCCCCAGGTGACTGTGCTGGACAACGGGGAGCCCTCCCTAAGGTCCACCTCCAGGGTGGTGGTATGCATCTCGGACGTCAATGACAATGCCCCTGTGTTCTCCCACAAGCTCTTCAATGTCCGCCTTCCAGAGAGGCTGAGCCCGGTGACCCCTGGGCCTGTGTACAGGCTCGTGGCTTCAGACCTGGATGAGGGTCTCAATGGCAGGGTCACCTACAGTATTGAGGAGAGTGACAAGGAGGGCTTTAGCATCCACCCGGTCACGGGCATGGTGTCATCCAGCAACACCTTCGCTGCCGGAGAATACAACATCCTAACGGTGAGGGGGCACGGAGGCCTTGGAGGGGTGTGATATTGCCGGTTAGGGATTTTCTCGGATACAGGAGGAGGGAGGCAGCCACCAGGCCTGATGAAGATGCTACTCCCAGAGAGACTGGGAACCCCAACATCAGCCAAAGGGTCAGAATTCTGGGCCTTTCTCTTTGAGGGCAATAAGGTCCTATTCTTAGAGATAAAGATTTTGGTGAGAGTAGCAGGGACTTTGGAATCAAGATAAGCCTGAGTTCTAATCCTAGCTCTTCCATTTTACACCTCTGTGGCCTTGTACAAGTCATTTAACCCCTTTGAGCTTTTGTTTTATCATCTGTAAAATGGGGCTAAGAACACTTTCCTTGTAGGAAGCCAATATAGCAAGTGGTTAGGGCATGGGATCTCATGTCAGACAGCCTAAATCCACCCCAGCCTCACTGCCGGCCAGGCAGAAAACCCCAGGCTGTATATTCACCATGCTGAGCCCCAGTTTCCTCCTGCAAAAGTGAGGTGAGAATGGTGCCTCTCTCAGGGCTGTCATGTGTATTAAATTAGATATGGCACATATGGCTCTTAGAGCAGGGCCTGACAATCGTGAAAGCTCATAAATTCTAGTTTATTATGTTTACAGTTGATGGGAGGGCAAAGGGTCCATGTGTGTAAAGTCTGGTTTAGGAACCAGCACATAGTAAGTGTTATTTTGTCACTACTCATGAGGTTCTTGGACACAGGTTCTATGTTCTGTTCACCACTGTGCCTGCGACCACTAGCATGTACCTGCTTACAGTAAGCCCTCCACTGTGTGTTGAATGAGTAGACGAGAGGCCAGCTCAGTCAGTCACAGGGCACTCTGTTTCTTGGATGGTCACCTGGATCTTATTGTTTCTTGGATCTTCTGGCCCTACAGACAAAGCCTCACTCTCAGTTTTGGCCTCTTTTCAGATCCAGGCAACAGACAGTGGGCAGCCACCACTCTCGGCCAGTGTCCGGCTACACATCGAGTGGATCCCCCAGCCTCGGCCCTCCTCCATCCCACTGGCCTTTGACGAGCCCCACTACAGCTTTACAGTCATGGAGACAGACCCCGTGAATCACATGGTGGGGGTCATCAGTGTCGAGGGCCGACCGGGCCTCTTCTGGTTCAACATCTCAGGTGAGCTCCCCCTTCCTTATAGACTATCCCTAGTTCTCAAAGTATGATCCTTCTGAGTCCTCTCAAGGTCATGCTCCGTGGAAGCCCCTTTTTGGGCCACAGGTGGTTCTCTGGGGCAGTGAGCAGTAGGGGCACCACTTGTGCCAAACTTCCACACCAGGTAGTTCTCAGGTAGAATCTCCTGGTCTCACTGGTAAACACAGCCAGAGTTGGACAGTGCCTCAGCTACCCCAAGTGCCTGGGAGATCTAAAAGGGTGGTCCAGAGAGACCCAGCGGAGAAAGCACAAGTTTTATGTTTCTTCTTCTGCCTCCATGTGAAAAGCAGCGCTAACTTCATTGACCATGGGCCTGAGGCCAGCTATATGTTCTGGTCCCAGCTATATGTTCTATCCTCAAGATCAGGGCAAAGTGTCCATTCTTATTGTAGGAGATACGTGGGTCCAAGCTCTGATGGCCTGCTCTGAAACTCCTTTCTATCCTTAATCCAAGATTTTAAAAAAACATCAGTGGTAGACACTAGGGGTTAGGGGAGGCTGGGAGAATGTCAAGGGGGGGCGGGGGAGGAAAGGAGACATATATACTCTATCCTTCTCCCTTCCTCTCTGTAAAAAATCAATGAAATATATTTCTTTTTTAAAAAAAAGGAGACATATATAATACTCTTTGTAATACTTTAAGCAATAAAACAAAATTTAAAAAAACACACACACACACAAAACATCAGTGGGGCGGGGGCAGGAGGCACAGACCCCTTTGGGCATCTGATGAATGCTTGGGACCCTCTTCCCAGAAAGTTGCACACACAAACATAGATTTACATACAAATTTCGTGGTTTCATAGATTCTCTGAAACCCAGTGGGGATTCCAGGTTAAGAACCTGTAATCTAAGAGTTTCAGCACAGCACAAACCATGGATTCCTATTACAGTTTCCCAGCCTGGTTCAGAGATTGGATGTGCACTTGTCTTATGCTTTTGGCCTCCTGCAATTACTTCCAGTTCTGATTCACTGCTCTTTTTCATTGTTTGGTTTTCTTTCTTTTATACAAAATGAATATATGTACTCTAAAGACCATTGAGAAAATACAAATGAATGCAGAGCAGAGAATAAAAATCACCTAAACTCTCACCAATCAGAAGCTAATCCACTGTTACAATTTTGATGTGTTTTGTTCTGGTCATTTTTCTACACAGACACACACACACTCAGGGTTATATTAAAATATTGCTTTCTAAGTTTAAAAAATGTAGGATGAACATATTTCCATGTAACTAAACAGATCTCTATTTAGTAGACATTTAAATAGCCGCATGCTAATTCTATAGATGCTTAGAATTAATTGAATCAATTCCCTCCTGATGACTAGAGTTATTTTCATTTTTTCCTGGGCATAGGCATCTTTCGGCCATGCAAACTGCCTGGAAGCCATGAAGTAGAGCTCCATTACTCTTGCATGTTTCAATCCTAGTTGCAGAATATGTTCTGTGAATAATTTTGGTCTTCCTCTGGGACTCTTCAGTTCACATAAGTTTACCTTTTTCCATATCATTACTTGGATCTTGATAAAAATTTGACAATAATTTAACAAGATAAATGACAGCTTTTTGGACTCCTGGGGAATAAACTCCAGCCTGTCACCCAGATATAGCACTGTTTCTGAACAGTCTTAAACCCCTGGTACAGTTTCTTCCTTGAATGCCTATAGTCCCTCCAGCCAAGGTTGGCACCTACTCCCAACTCCTCTAAATCTGCAGTCAAATCCCATGTCGTCCTTCTGCTGCCTAAGTCACTGAGGTTGTGTGCTTCCCACCCACTCGCACTCCAGGTGGGGACAAAGACATGGACTTTGACATTGAGAAGACCACGGGCAGCATCATCATCGCCAAGCCTCTCGACACGAGGAAGAGGTCGAGCTATAATTTGACTGTGGAGGTGACCGATGGGTTCCACACCATTGCCACCCAGGTTAGAAGCTTCAGTTGGGAACTCTCAAGTTGAGAGGAGATAGGAGTCCTTCTTAGTTGGGATGAAACTACAAATGGCTTTACCTCAAAGAATGCTAAATTGGAGTCAAGGTTCTGCATCCCAGTCTTATCTGACACACATCCTACTTCTGTATGTGAAGGATCTTGGAAGGATCCTTCTTCCCACTGTGGATCTCTGTATATTAAGGGGTTTGTCTAAATTAGTAGTTTTTGTTGTTGTTTCTTTAATATATACTTTTTAAAAAAAATTTTATTTCAGAGAGGAAGGGAGAGGGAGAGAAAGATAGAAACACCAATGAGAGAGAAATCCCAGTCTTATCTGACACACATCCTACTTCTGTATGTGAAGGATCTTGGAAGGATCCTTCTTCCCACTGTGGATCTCTGTATATTAAGGGGTTTGTCTAAATTAGTAGTTTTTGTTGTTGTTTCTTTAATATATACTTTTTAAAAAAAATTTTATTTCAGAGAGGAAGGGAGAGGGAGAGAAAGATAGAAACACCAATGATGAGAGAGAATCATTGATCAGCTGCCTCCTGCACACTGCCCACTGGGGATCAAGCCCACAACCCAGGCATGTGCCCTGACCCAGAATTGAATCGTGACCTCCTGGTTCATAGGTAGATGCTCAACCACAGAGCCACACCGGCCGGGCTAAATTAGTAGTTTTTAATTGAAGATAGAGGGCCATGGGGCTACCATGGGCATGAGGAATGATAGCCAAGTAAGTGGGGCTCTGGATTTCTACTTTGGCTTCAGCCAGAATTTTATCTGTTTCATATATTGAGATTGCACATGAAATTTCATTTAAAGAAAAGACCCTGTAAAAAAAATTGTTTTTGAAAACCACTAGATTGCATGTTACCTGAAAGATTTATGACTTTGAAATGTTATCATTTATTCAACATTCTTAAGTACTGTGTACCAGGCATGGTGCTGGGCACAGATGATATGGTGGGGAACCAGGCAGATATGGCCCCTGACTTTAGGGATCTTACAGTCTATCTTCTGTCTCACTCTCCTCCCTAGGTCTACATTGTCACGATTGCCAACATTAACCACCATAGGCCCCAGTTTCTGGAAGCTCATTATGAGGTCAGAGTTCCCCAAGACACACTGCCTGGGGTTGAGCTCCTCCGAGTCCAGGCCACAGATCAAGACAAAGGCAAGGGCCTCATCTACACCATACATGGCAGCCAAGACCCAGAGAGTGCCAGCCTCTTCCAGCTGGACCCAAGCAGTGGTGTCCTGGTAACTGTGGGGAAATTGGACCTGAGCTCAGGGCCCTCACAGCACATGCTGACAGTTATGGTGAGTTAACTGAAAAAATCAGGTAAAAAATCTACTTGCATAAAGATGTGTGGGGGTGGAGGCTTGGGGGCATGCTGAAAGTTCCCTTTCCCCCTGATGGGCCAGGTGTACTGATGCTCATAATGATAATCCATGAGATGAGTTGTGACATTTCACAGCCTGCCAGAAGTATCTTCCATAAAGGATGCCTGGGAGTGAAGAAAGAGATGGGACAACTGCCAAGAAAACTCCTGCAATCTTAGACTTGCTCCAAATATCCCCTGACAGTTCTCTTCCTGTTCCATGAACTGCATGACCACAATGTGGATTTATATAGTGTCAGAGCTGGGAGGGACCCAGAGACCCTCTCACCTAGAGCAAACACTAGGGTGAGGTGACCCAATTATATAGGGCACAAAACTTAAGGAGGACTCACTCTCAGGGTCTTTTGTCTGCCCTTTTATGACCCTGAGAGTCAGTGTCTCCTTATATTTATGCCCTAGTTGTCTCACTTGCCTCACTCTAGTCCAAGCCCTGATCCTACCATTTCTCTTATACCTGAGGTCCACAGAGGAAGAGAGATGTGCTCACCATCATATAGTTCTTTCTGATGGAACCAAAACTAGAGTCCAGCCTTCCTGATTTGAGGTTCAGGGTTCTTATATGTTAGTATATCATTCTCTGGGCATATTAATATATATTAAAGGCACTGAGAAGTCCTGCAGTAAAGAAAACTTCAACTTCATTTAATTTAGTGCTCCCTAAATTTACTTAACCATAGATTTTTTTTCCACCCCTGCACAACATGTTAACAACTTGAAAAACTAATATTCTCTGAGACCTAATTTGGCAAATACTGTTTCTCTGGTAATTTCTGCCTTTCTCCTAAAGTAAGATTATCCATTAAAATGTCTAAGCCTAATAATCAATAATCAATAATTAATAAACTTATTTTAAAAGAAAAAAGAGCATAAATGGGAAAAAATTGAAAGGAACAGAGCTACAATTGGATGTATTTTTCATTGGCATTCTATTTTATTGACCTTAATCTAACCAAGCCTCTTCCCATTCCATTTGCTACTCACCCCATTACCTCCTCGGGCCCATAGGTCCGAGACCAGGAGATGCCAATCAGGAGGAACTTTGTGTGGGTGTCTATTCATGTGGAAGATGGAAACCGCCACCCACCCCGCTTCACCCAGCTCCACTATGAGGCAAGTGTTCCTGACACCACAGTCCCAGGCACAGAGCTGCTCCAAGTCCGAGCCATGGATGGTGACCGGGGAGCCAACGCTGAGGTCCACTACTCCCTTCTGAAAGGTGAGAGGCCTGGCTATAAGTCCAGAAGGGGGTAGGGTTTTGGTAATAAGGAGAAGCACCATGGGCATGAATTTGGAATTTACTCAAGGGCCAAGCTCTCTAAATTTTGGCAAGCTATCACTCTAGAGCAGGGGTGGGAACATCCGGCCTGCAGGCCATATAAAGCCTGCAAGATGATTTGTTCTGTCCCTGTGAAGGCAACCCAGGCAAGATGCGAAATTCAATAAATCTAGGAGCTTTTTTCATAGCAACATAAATTTATATTAAGTGAATTATATTAAGTGAATGATGTCATAAATATCCAAATGGCCCTTGGCAGAAAATAAGTTCCACACCCCTGCTCTAGAGCAGCGGTCACCAACTGGTGGTCTGCGGACCACTGGTGGTCCATGAGGTCCAAAAGGTTGGCGACCGCTGCTCTAGAGCATTCCCTAGAACTATAGTGACCTAAGATAATGTACTTTCAAAGATGGTAAGAACAACAACTAAGGGACTACTGGTGTTACAAGAGAATTTGCACATCTACACTAATAAAAGAGAAACATGGTAATTGGCGTACGACCGCTACCCTTCCCATTGGCTAATCAGCATATCCTTATGCAAATTAACTGTCAGCCAAGATGGCAGCCGGCAGCCATGC